AAAAAGAAAAAGGCGGGGACACAAAGGAGTTCCAGTAATGCCGCCCATTGTCCAGATTGAAGTCCAGGAGCGGGCTGAGCACCTGCTGTGGCCCCTGCTCACCCCATGGTCCTGACCATGGAGATAGGGAGGGACTTAGTGCTTTTGATGAGAACATTTGACATCACACTTGGCTCAACATAACTCCACCTCCCATCTTTCCAAGAGCTGGGAACTGTGGCCCAGAAGTCTGTGGTGCTTTGGCTCAGCTTTCAGTCTGCTAAGACTGAGTCACAAAATACCGTTGTTCTGCACTGCACTTGACTTCCTTTTCTCTCAGTCCTCAGCATCTTTTTTCTTAATCATTCAACCATCTCCTTGAAATCTATCTCATACCTGTGACTGGGAAGTCAGATTTGATCCCTAAATAGGGCTGACTAAAGAGGGTAGGCCAGATCTTCACCAAAGTTAAAAGGAATTAATAGGAAGGGAGAGCGAGAATGCCCCTCGCCACTCCCTACTCCCCAGGTGGCCCTAAACCATGCCCTGTCACTCGTCATCATCCCCTCTCAGGGCCTGTGCAGAAGATGGTCCTTTAGATAAATTATTAGACACTGGAGAGAATTGCACCTAACAGCCTTTGTTTTTTGGACCAGGATTCCCAAAGAAATTACAGTGACTAATATTCACCAGGCCATTTGCAACATTCCCTTTCTGGACTTCCTCACAAACAAACACATGGGGATACTGAATGAAGATCAGTGAATGGAATGAAGATGCACCTGGAAAAGCAGGATCTGAGCTGTATCTGAAGCTTTGAACTGTGATGACTCTTCTGTTTGGGAAAGGAGGTTGTCTGTGCCTCAGAATATCATGGTTACTGAACCATTGCCTCCACCCAATTCAGTGTAACACCAGAGTGCTCAGTCCCAGATCAGATCCCTTTAGGACACAAGTTTCCTGGTTCTGAGTGGAGCTGTGGATGCCTGCTCTGTCAGCTTGCATCTGTTCACCCTCTGCAAAGCTCATTGAGAGGGTTCTAGAGCTGGGCCAGGCTGTGTGTATCGGGTCCTTCTCTCCTCTGGGCATCTTCAAGGGGGCACCTTGGGCCTGAGTCTTCCTCCAAGGAGGCAGAACATGAGTCTGGCAGGCTAGAGATTTCACCCATCCTGTGGACTGGGGTTACATGCCTCCCCAACAGTTACCCTGGTAACATCTGGAGAAGGCCTAGGCAGCCTACATGCATCAGCTACAGAACGCGGAAGGCTGCAGACTGAGCAGAATTCTTATTCTGTGGAGCTTTATTGCAACCAGTCTCAGAAATGAGGGATGGACAAGTCAAGGTCAGGGGGTAGACACATCCCAGCATTGGTCTGGGAAGGTTTGACTATAACCAAGAAGCTCTAAACATGTTTGTAATAGACAACTCCCATAAATCCCGGGCTCTTGTACAGCTTGGTGTGTGTCCAGGCAGCAAGCTGGTGCCCACTGTTCGCATGGTCTGCAGGAGCCTCTGCGGCTGGGCTCAGGCTGCACAGCCCCGCCAGCACTCTGTCCTGTCAGTGGATTTCATGTTCTCTTCTCGGTCAAGTTTTTCACAAGAAGGAAAGTGTTTCAAAGAAGCACTTGTGAGTGCCTTAAAGGTAGAGGAAGCCAAAAGATGGATATCTGCTCAGATCAGTGAGGAAAGATTGTGTCCATAAAGAGATGGGGGGGAGACGTGAAGAGGAGGAGGAAGGTAGCTGCTATATACCTGGGTGACGTCCAGTTCCATTCAAGGTACTCGAGCCCAGGCTTCCTAACAGTCTCGGGAAGTAAAGGAATGAATATATTCTGTTAGGAAGCTGCTCAAAGACAGTTTGAAACCTGTGAGTCAGAGTCAAAGGAACTTATCCAAGCATCATAATTTGTATTTTCATGAGTCCTGGAGATGTTTGTCAGGAAAAGAAGGCAGGTAGTTGACACAATGAGAAACCTACCCTTTTATTCAGCATCGGAGGATTGCAAATGCAGAAGGAAGTCTGTTCGGTAAGGCAGGGGTGCTCCCTGGCTTTGTGGTAAAATAGTTTAGAAGTAAAGGCTCAACCAGTCTGTACATGACCAACTCCAAGCAGAGGTATGGACAAGTGTGTAGATCCATTCAGCAGTGGACTGGGACAGCGCCACAGAAGATTTCGTCCCAGTGAGAACAGATGGACTACAGGGGTGAAGGCCTAAAGAAATTATTGTTTTGCAAAAGAAATATTAAATGATTTAACAGTCCCCGTATGTGTTAATGTTTCAAATGTATTTGTATCATAATGTGTAATATAATTGTGTAACAAAAATACAATAAATCTTTTAGTATTTGTGATGGGTTTTTCTGTTTGAATCACTACACTTTGGTTCTTACATTAGGTCAGAAAGCCAGGATGGGGCAAAGATACAGGTATTTGTTTTAAATACTTCCTTTTCTTTCCAAAAAGAACATGAAGCTATGCAAGTTAAAGGATAACAGTTAAAGTCTGAAAAATTTTGGAATTCACATGTTGACCCTGAACATCCTGATTTCTGACAGCTTGGGGCAAAGGAAAACTGCTGAATTGAGCTCAGAGCCTCCTCAAAGCCAAGGCAAAGAGGCAACAGTTCACGTTTGACTCTCACTGGTTTGTCTGGCAAGACAGAATTGGTCTATACTGAGGTCTTAAAGAAGTTACTCCGACAGTCTGCTATCATGATGGCAAAAAAAATTACCAAAAATACAGAGACATTTCAGAATGACCACTTTTTATATCCACCCTTACCGAGAATGAAAGGCTTTGAAAGCCCTTCCTTTGCAGGGAGGCGGCTTTGTGATAGAGTCCAGGTAGGTAGCTTTCTTGGGACCAGACTTCACTTAATATCAACCTTCAGGGAGTTGAATGGTCTGGAGGAAGGAGAAAGGGGCACTGCTAGGCTCCCTCCCTGAATCTCAGCCACGGTTTTGGCTAGAGCCACAGGACAGACAGATCCGTGTCACAGGCAGCACCTTACCTGGGGATTCCCTCTTCCTGACTGAAGGAACTGCATGGTGGGCCAGCAGGCTGCCCTGCACGAAGGGGGCATTCCCCCACCTGCCTGGGGTGGGCTGCAGGGCCAGGGCTTTCTCAACAGCTGTTTTTTGGAGTTTGGTGTAAAATCCTGGCATTATTACAGGCATGGAAGTATTAGTATTTGTGATGGTTTTTTTGAGATTGAAGCACCACAGCACAGAGGTGAGACCTTGCTCTGAATGACTGCAGCTGAAAGGACCGTGGAGGCCTCCCTCTGACGGGGGCTTCTGGGGCAGCCTCACGGCATGGGGTGCTGCTGGCAGGGCTAACCTTGCTTATGGAACCATGAATATTGAACTTTCTTTTGGCTGAAATTAGCTAACAGATTGAACTTTTTTATTTTTAAAAACTTTCTTTACAGAATTAATACAAAAATGCTTATTATAAATAGAAACTTTAGTAAATATGTGTAAAAAGTTTAAAATTACCCATAAATCCGCATCCTAAGGATAACCACCATTAATATTCCAATGCATCTCTTTCTGTCTCTGTCAATGTATATTATACATACGTGACACATATGGATTGGGACCACATGGTTGAGACTGTTGTCTCAGTTACTTAAGGCGGCTCCAGTAACAGTGTTAAGCTTTCCTAAGACCTAGAGTGAGAGGAAGTTTCTTCTTCATAGCCTGGATCTAATAATTAATGAAATCTAGTTAGGAAGCTTGTCAGGTTGGGGTGTTTGAAAAGCCATCTGTTCTAGTGCAAAAGGCATGTAAGTATGCCAGGAAGGGGCGGGCTCTGGGGGGGAAGGGCACTGTCAGCTGTGGGGTGTGCCGGGCAGGGTCTAGTGGGAGGGGCTGTGTTGGCATCGGAGTAGCACATGAGAAGAGAGCCAGCTCCTGGGAAAGGGGTGGGGGGAGCTTGGGCAGGAAAGGATTATTACAAAGCTGTGCTTTGTTGGCCGTTTACTGGCCTAATAAGCACCCTGCACATAAACCCAGACTTCTCATCGAGGTAGGGGTATTAGCCTCATTTTGCAGATAAGGAAATGGAAGCTTAATCTGCTCACAACTAGAGTCAAGTCAAGATCTGAGTCTAAGACTAGCTTCAAAGAGTCATTCTACCCCGGCACCTAGCAGTGGGGGACACGTGGGGAGGGGCTAAACGTGACAGGAGGCTGGTGGGGCTTGTGAAAGACTACATGTAACACCAGTGTGGACTGCAGCCCAAAGCAAGGGTTTTCAGGCCTGATAAGCCTCCAGCGACACCAGCTACAGCCAGGAGACATTCAAGTCCTTATTACCAAGGGGAGGAGGGAGGAAGGTGTAGGAGAAGGTGCTCATTTATAATTAATTTACAGGCATAAACAAGAAATTGAAACAGTACATTTTTGCATTTTAGTAAAATCTGAGACTGTTCCGTTAGTCTGTTCATTTCCCACAAAATGCCTAGCAGGCAGTCTCTTTTTTAGAAACATCAAACGTGCAAACCATGAAGTCTGAAATAATAGAACCCTTTGTGTCAGCATATGCTTTTTGTTTTCCGTTTAAAATTATTCTCAGAGCATTTTATTTGCTGGAATGGGGGGAAGGGCTGTGCCTGCCAGAGCCAGCACCTCTGAGCAGTCACCCCTTTTGCAGCCTGAGCTGAAACAGCCCCACCTCCACTCCGAGGAGGCTCTAAGACCTCTTGCGGTGTAAGTAAGTGCTCCAGACTAGAGCCACTCATGGGCTGGAAAGCGATAAAGATCCAAAGGGAAATCCTTGCGTCTCCTGACCAAAATTGACCAAGCTGTGCCTCCAATCTTTAAGACAGGACATAAACTCCTTCAAGGGTTTGAAGGGCTGCTGTGCAAAGACGGACCAGGCTTGTTCCCCACGGCTGCTCTGGCTGGCATTTGTGGAGGAAAGAGAGAGCTTTCCAAAGACAAAATGAACTGCCACAAAAGGCAGTGAGCTCCCTGTCACTGTGGCAGGGCAGGCTTGAGAATAAAGGTTGGCATAGATGATGTCGTAAGGTCTTTCAGGGAATGAGGCCGATGCTGCAGTCTTCTAAAAAAAAAGCTCCCAACCGTGGCCAGGTAGCTCAGTTGGCTATAGCATCATCCCAACACACCAAGGTTGTGGGTTCAATCCTCAGTCAGGGCACATAAAAGAACCAGCCAGTGCGTGCATGAATGGGGTGGGAGAGCAAATCAGTGTCTCTCTCTTCCTTCTTCCCTCTCTCTAAAATGAATCAAAATTTTTTTTTAAAACCTCCTGATTCTTAGCCAGTGTGGATGGTAGTTCTCTTCCAGTTACCATTTTGTTACAGGACAGATCTGGAATTAGTAATAAAATGGGGGGCTCGGAAACCTTCCACAAGGTAAATGGCATTCATTCATTCAGTACTTCAAGCACTCATCCCAAGAAATGCTTTGTTAAAACATAAGGGTCATCTTGGCCATAAAAAAACCATCTTGGAAATTGAAACCCTGTAATTGGTAGAATATCAGTTTCTTTTGGCAACTTCTTCCTGGTAGTTATGAATCACATGCAGGTGATAACCTAAGATTTCTACAGCTTGAACGTGTGGGAACATCCAAGGATGCTACCTCCGGTTACCGTAGGCAATAAATTACCATGCAGCTGGGCGAACAGTGGCGGGACTGGCTCTTTCGAGGACCTGCTGTACATATGCTCAGCGTGCCTGGGCCAGTTCAGTTCACCACAGAATTGACCCTGGAGTTCTTCAGATTTAAAAACTGAAGGTGGCCAAGAGAGGCAATTAAACAAAGATCGGAAGCCTTCCGCACACTTCCCAAGGAAGAAAAGGGCGGTTGAGTCCCGAGTTGGGCTGGGTGGTGCCGTGTCCGTCTGCTCCTCTGCTCTGTGCCAGGCCTGCAGCCAGGTGGCAGCTTGGGAGGAGGGTGCTCCAGGGTGAGAAAGGAGGAGCCTGCCCCCTCTGACAGCTGGGGCCGCAGGTCCGAGATCTCACCCGTTAACTGGTGCAGCAGTTCTGACACACACCCCCCCCCAGTGGCACTCTCCCCTCCATGGGAGTCACACGTTGAGGATCCGGGGAGCTGAAGCCTGGAAGATGGCTGAGGGGTTAGGAGCAAACTTCTTCCTCACTTCAGGGACCTGAAACGCGAGACATGGCCACTGATCAGTGGGCCTCTTCCTCACTTTCCCCGCCCCCAGCTGTAGGAAAACAGTTCCCTTCTCCTGACCTCCACAGTGGCAGGGTCACTGCCTTAGTAGGTCAGATATGGCACATGGACCTTCCATTCTGCTCCCTGAAGCCTCTTTTGGGTGGAATCAGGAGGCTGAATAGTCCCCACCTCCCTTCCATCTTCTCTTCTCTTACACAAATGGCTTGTCACTACTGCTCAGGGGTCAAGGGTAAGTCTGGGACTTAGGAGGGAAAGAGACACCCTGCTCCCGAGAAGCCGGGACTGGCCGGGGAGGGGGCACCCACATGGCCTGTGACAAAGGACCTTGGGTTTCTGTTTGCTGAGGTATGACTGTGTGCTCAGACGTTAAATCTGACTCCTAGTCCCTAATCTG